CACATTAATAATGTGACAAATACGTATATCAAGAACAAAAATATAAAAATCTGCCATTGCCCCATCTTGCACTATCCTTTATTTCATTGCCATGCACTTTCCGATCTCTCATCAACCTCTGTCTCCACACGAAGAGCGTAGGAGAAAGTCGGCATTTCTCCCCAAAAGTGGAAGGATTTAGACCGAGCCTTAATTCCCTTTAAATTCTTTTAATGAACCTCCTTGTTTTTATCCCTAAATTCCACCTCGAAGGAGACCGTGAGGAGGAGGAGGAGAAAGGAGGCAAGAATAATGTAATGCAACACAATTGCTCTCACCCACCCGACGGAGAGAGAGAGGCAGAAGAGTCTTAATGGCTTCGAATTTTGGAGACCTGACTCTTGAAGGAGAGTGAATTACATTACTACACGAGAAGACAAAATTTACTTTTCTACTTCGTTTGACCCGCAGATTGTCTTTTGTGGCGTCTAATGCCGTGGAAGGGAAAAGCGTAGAAGAATCAACTGGGTCGGTTGTTGGCGGTGATTTGATGGCGCAAGTAGAAAGCAACCTTGTTTCCTTCTCCTACAACTCCTGTCATACATATACGACAACCAGATACATACCTAACCACCCAGTACCTTTTAATGCGAGGATCGCTTTCTGGAGAAAGTCAGCTCAAAAATAAATTTACTTTGCGTGGAATTGGGTCTATTTGGTCGCTGAGAGAGAGAGAAATCAGGAGTCAAGTGAAGTAACCAAGCATTCATAATTCCTTTGTAATCTATGAGATCTCACAAACGGGATGGGATGGAAGGATGTGATGTGACGATACAATTACGAAGAGGGAGGGAAGAAAATGCTCGCTTTTATGTATTTCTTCCGTAAACTAACTAACTAAACGGCAAATTAATACTTTCTCATTCATTCGTGATGTCTTAGGTAGGCGATATATGTATGGGAACATAGTGGTACAGACAGACAATTGCCGTTTGGAACGTCGCATTATAAATGTTGAGTATTAATGGCAAGAGACAGCTTGAATGCCATGAGGCTGATTTTTATAGCATTATTTATGAACCGTAGTAATCAGACTTAGCAAATGCTGAATGACTGACTATGTACAACAAGTACGTAAGTAAATGGTCTCGCTACTGCTACTTATTTTCTAATTCGAAAAGAATTAGAGGGGCAGTGACAATTAAATTATTTTTATTGTAGTCATTTCATTCTTCCAAAGTAATTAATGGGATTAAAGACAATGTGGAAATGGGAAGAAGGGAAAAAAGAGCAAGTGGTCGAGGTAAAAAGGACTCGTGTTTGACTTTGTAGATTTTTTTGTTACCGTCAAAAAACACGAGGCACACAAATAAAGAAGAAAGCTATTTACCAAGCAACTGGAAAACGGTGATGCTTTCACTCTTAGATACCTTCTTAGTTCCATTATTAAATGTTAATTTTTCAAAATTTCAATTCACACTTTAATTCCGTGAGATATTCAGAACTAAATGATAATAAATTTGGCGCATAATTGCTTTTTTGTACGTCATGCTTCTGTAATAACCATTAACTTGTTTCTCTAATTTTCCTTCATTCCACGGAGGTAAATATCTGTAAGTAGGTGCTCTGTAATTTACTTACAGGTTTCTTACTCCTCCAAGTTACATGCTAACATAACAATCATCATAAAACTCTCCCTTCCCCCACCACGTAAAAAACGCACCTACTCACTCGCTCACTTTTCGGGCAATCTTATTACACTTTTTCCCCTGTATTGCTACATAACATTCACCTCATTCATCGTGTAGCTGAGCAAGAAATTCTGCTGTACGAGAATACTTTTGCAGAGCGAGAAGTAAATTACAAAAAGCAGTAAAAATATTTGGCAATCCATTCTCCCATTTAGTTTCTTCCTCCGGTTGATGAGCCAAATAGGAAAAAAAACTTGTCACATTTTATTGCTCGTGTCCTCATTACTTGATGGGAAATTATATCGTTTACCATCTCACGTTTAATTCTCTCGTACATATTGCAAAGTGTGGTTTATTACGGCAATGCTCTAGCGGAAATAAATTAGTGAACCTATTACAAAATATTCTTATTTAACATGCACCAATCGAGGCAGGTTTCCTGTAAAAATTCTCATAACGCAATGATGCGCTCTATAGTTCAGTTTTGAACAAACTGTATTTTTCTGTTAAAGAATAACCTTTCCGTAGGAGTCGGGATGTGTTAACACTTAACATAAAGTATGGCATACGTATTTATGTAGGTACGAGTCACAAGTTAACGAGAGACACTGACAGCTAATTCCTTTTTTAATTTAATCAAATACACCGACCCCACAGTTCTGACTTTCATTTCACTTCTTCCCATGTGCAATGGGAAACATGTGTGTTTTCTCACCAGCACAAAATTCCTGTCTCATCACAACATCACCAAGATTATTCGAGAAGGAAAGGAGGAAAGCACTCGAAAAGTTAAGAAATTGCGATAATTTTGCATCTTCTATGTTTTAAAATATTTCAACGAAACTGAAGAAATCCTGTTTATTCCAGTTTTCAATCCTTAAATCAGTCTCCAACTAATTTATGCAAATGCACATTCTCCTCACAAACGGAGACAGAGTACATTAATTTTTACCACTCCGTGTCCATTAAGTTTATTTCAAATTGTAACCTCATCTCTTATTTTCTTTTAATTTTCATGTTTTTAAAATTCACAAAGGCCGAAGCCACAAGAGAAGGAGAGATCCCACTCTATCCAATGAAATTAGAAATCTGTACTAATTCAATTAATCTTTCACACTTTCAGCCACAAAAACATTTACAATTCTACAAGAAATTAAAAGAGAAATGGAAAATCTTTCCATGTTCTGGGCAGGTTCGGTCGGCTTCTCTCTTTGTACGTAGTTCCAGATTTAGTACGGGTGACATCATAAATCTTGATGTTTTGTGTTCACTTCGCATCATGTTTACAAAAATTTTGTTATTTTGGACACTCAAAAATAAAGTTTCTCAAAAATAAAGTTTCTAATCCTACAAACTGCACACTGTTAAAAATCTGGTAGAGTCACATATGTATATCCTCCGTACTGGTATTGATTTGGTAATAACTTTCTACCGGATTGGTAGTAGTTGGTTTCTGAGTGGTAAATTTTTCGTTACCAAAACATTGCCAAATGGTAATGCCCTTTATTACCAGTGCCGGAAGAGTCATATACCTATTATTATGTCCTCAGTAATGATTTAATACCATTTTTCTAAGAGTGCCATTGTCTCCGACATAAATTATTGTATCAGACGTATTTTTAGGTTTTAACTCTCTCTCTGCTCCCGTAAATAAATCTCGCCGCGAGAGGATTGCATTTTGTACTCTGTTTTCCCGTGGTTATTACAAATAACAATAAACATTCATAATAACCTTAAGTACGTACATACAAGTACTCAACGAAACCAACCCACTCGTGTGTTCTTGTTCATCCGCACACAAAAATGCTTTCGAGCAGTGAAATACGTACATTTACTTTTACCAACACCAACTATTAGCCGTTATGAATTGCCTACTTTACAATAAGCCGCAGTAAAGTAAAGGGTCCAAGCCAAGTGGGCGTTACAATAAAGGACATAAAAGATGATCCAGTACACCATACATTGTATAATAATATTATGTACACTTAAGGAAAGAGGAAAGGAAGACCACCACGGGCAATAATAATAATCATCATCATGCTTCGCTGCTACGTCAAGTCGGACCAATGCCTGTTTTCGGACGATATGATAGCCACAGCCACCCAAAGTGAAACCAGTCCCAGAGAATGGGAAGGAAGAAGAAGAAGAGGAGCTGAAAAACTGACGGGAAAGGAAGGAGAGAAAGTGGAGGAGCATTATTATTATGCCAACAAGCAGCGAGAGGGACGAAAGGTATATCCAGTCCGAGATAGAAGAAAAAAAAGTAACGGAGAATGGGAGGATAATGGATTTTCAGTCCATGAGTAGAAATTTTTCAGTTATCTGATGAAAGAACTGTCCATCCATGTTCACTTAAACGCTTCCACTTTCACCAACATATTACCCACATAATCTAATGCGCAATGTACTTCCGAATAATGCAATGTGAAGAAAGAGGAGAAAAAGGAGGAGAGTATAAAAAAAAGTGTACGAGATTTTCACTCGGGAAGAAAGAAAGCCAAATTATTTGGTGGAAAATGTATGTTTTCAATGATTACCTAACCAGTTAAAAAACTTTCGACGAGTCAAATCTCTGAATTCTTAGTAATAAATAAGTCACAATTCTTTTAAAAACGTAGCCGACGTGTAATCCATTTCGTGTAATATATTTTCATAAAAAAACATTGATTGGGACACCCTTCGCATCCCATCCGAAAAAGTTGGCAGACCGGAACCGAAATACATTTATAGATTTAATTTTGGCCTCTTTTCCAACAATACCTATGTCCACCATTCTTACAACAAGTCTGGCACATGCTTCGACCCAGCGAGTATATGGAGATTTATTAACATAATGGAGTCAAGTGGAGAGTTTGAGTGGAAAGGATGCAATCTATGGTCCATTCCTTTCCTGGGAAGAATGTATATTTTCCCCTCTATTGCATTTATGTATCAGATTATCCTCCTCCTCCTCAGGAAGGAGTCTGTCCAGCCTTACGTGCTGCGAGACGAGTGACGGACTCAACCCTAAATAAAATCTAATTGAGAAGATTCAAAGCAAAAGTATGGCAAAAACGGGATGGGAAAGAACAAGTCCGCCATGATACAGACCGTCACCGCGCCCAGTAATACACCAGAGTGCTTTTCAACAACAAAGGAGAAAATAGAAAAGTAGTATAAGTTGCAAGAAGCCAGCCGCCGCGGTTCCTTCGTATTATGACACCATTACATTACACAAACGACCCTACACTTCCCATGACTTGGTTTGGTGGGATTTAAAAATATGATTTAAAAAAGTGCAAAGCATGCAATGTGATGAGAAGTGTGCAGTAATTGAGAGAGGAAAGTTACCTGGACCATTAACATCTTTTATCGGGGGAAAGGAAGCTTTAGTAGCGGCTGAAGTTTTACCTGAAATAAGAAAAAAAGTAATTAATTTTTTATTACGAGGTAATAATTGCTACAGCGTTATTTGCCTGAGCGTTGTTCAAAATATAAGTAGTGATGCTCACAATGGAGGTCTCCCAGAATATGCTCACATATTTTGACCAAATTAGTGCCAATCGATCGCAAATTTAATTAATATGAAATTAAAACGAAAAGAAAAAAATTAAACGTAAATTTAGAAAGCGTAAAATTTGTTAATTTTAGGGCGCTTTTTCTCCTCTTTGAGTACAAATATCTTTGCTAAACCTTCTCATTGGGAGATCGTGTCTTTTGCAAATTTCATACTAAATAAATTTGTGATCGATTGACACTAATTTGCTCAAAATTTGTGAGCATACCTTGCGAGACCTCCATTCTCCTCACTGTAATTCAGTGCATATTACGATTTACAAACCGACTCCGCCAGGTATTAGGAATAATACTTCCCTGCATATACATATTTAATACTGTAAACTCCCAATAAAACTAAAAGCCACCTCAAAACTTTGTCCATTAATCAAACCCCACCACTTCAAATTCATACAAGTTCCTCGTCCACGCAAACTTTGACATTGTTGTGGAGTAGGTAACGAGAGGACAAGGAGGAAGCAAATGAGACTACATAGGTAAGAGATGAGGCAGAGCTGCGGGGAGAGAGAGACAATAAATAATTACTTGTTCTATCTTGCCTCAAAATCTAAAACAATTTAAAGATTGATGATAAAACCTGCTGAGTTGGGGCAGGTATTGTCTACCAAGTTTGTATACACATAAAGTAAAGTGTGCGTGTGTGGGAGGAAGAGAGATGAGTTTGTGGTGTTAGGTAAACGAAATATGGCTAACACCACTCCTTATCACGTTGATATGCCTCCACTTCACTCTACTTATTACGATACGGCGACGACGAGTATAAATAAACCTGTGAGAAGAAAGGGAACCAAAACTGATCTAATCCAATACAATCCATCATCCTTTGAGATGCTTTTGGATGACATCAATAAATACCAAACCAAACCCGTGAGGGTTGTGGAAGAAAAGCAGTAAAAGCACTTTGGCCGACTTCCTGTACAAGTGGTGAGAGAGAGAAGAGCGTACTTGGCAGTGGTGGTAATGTACATTAGGAAAAAAAGTGAAGTGGACATTTCCATTTTAATCGTGTACCCTACATAATGGAGTGTTACCCCAAATTACGAAATGATAACGTACAAAAAAAATCTGTTGGAAAACATTTTGATTACAGTTTTTTTTTATTATGTAAGAAGAATTAAATACTGGGAAACAAATCAACTTCGTGTATCTTGATATTTATAAATATGTAGTTCACTCACAAAACGACGCCAAAAGAACAACCAACTTGTTAGCAGTTTGGCATTGGTACAAATTCCCCCTAATTTTTCAACTGCGTCTAATCTGACTGTTGAATGATCCACCTCTCATCCTCATCCATTTCATTCCCTCATTACATGATTCCCCAACTCTGCGCGATTTCCACCACCAACAACAACCATGATAGATACGTACGTACAACGCTCCGTATAAATGGGGAAGGTAAATCAACAAGCGGATAAACCAGACAAGATTCCAGATTGAATTGAGGTTAAACGTGGATTTATTCAATCGGCTCCTCGACTCGAGAGAGAGAGAGAGAAGAAACAAACCCACAGAATAAGATCTGTACCAATTCATCTCATCTCGGTCTTGGTTGGGTTGGAAGCCACCCAACACAAAGACAGGAAGGGATAAAGATGTGGGGATTGGGACCTTTTTCCTCTCAGGAGAAACATACCGTTCCCATTAAACACGATCTATGGATTGAGGGGGACGCATGATTGGGTTGTGAATATGTCAAGTCAAACCAACAAAATGAACAAACGGCGACAATTAGTTTTCTGCAGGAAAACAACTCATTCCTTTACTTGATACCTACCAAGAAGTCGCCGCTTATTTTATCAGAGTAAAATATTCCGTCAGCAAAATTCTACATTTTGCATATCCAACTTAATCGCAAGTGATGTAACACGGAGAAAGGGAAGCAAGGGGGAAAGTGTAAAAGGAAAGTAAGTGACTTGAGCTGGTCGTGCCATGTATATCTTGTAGTCATCATCATTCTTCCAATTCAGACGCGCCAGCCTGGCGACGGCGACATACGAATGAAACCAAATCACATCGCACGAGAATAAAAGAAAGGAAAAAGGCCAAATGAGCTTCAACCTCGATAACATATTATATATACAAATTGTGTAATACAATGTAAGAGAATATTCGCACGGAATTGGAATCAGAGGCAGTTCTAAATTCTCCTAAAAAAATATCGCCATCAATTATAACTCAAAATTTCAAAATTTAACTATTTTAAAATAAGCAACAATAAAGCATTGCAAGGTTGAAATCCTCCTGTAGCATAAAAAATAGCTTTAATAAAAACATCCCTATATCCCCTTAAAATCTGGAAACTTTGAAATAATGAAATCCTGCCAAGTGTGGTGTGCCCTGGAACATAAAGGAGGAAAAGTCTGTCTCATATACCTCACGAGTAAATACATACAACGCACACACACATAAATAGGGAGCCACACTTCTACTACGGTACATAGTCTCATCCTTGTCCTCCTATCCTTCCCATCTCACCAAGCCAATTTTCTCCCGAGAATTTCGAAAACAAGTGCAATGCAATATATTCACAGATTACAGCCAGTTGTTGGAGGAGCCAGGGAGGAATAAGCATGTGGATGGAAAGGGTGCAAAAAATTTGGAGAAAGTTATACTCTTTCTAAAACAACACATGCCCCCTTCTGCCTTTTGGTGGCAGTGGTGGTGGTGGTGTTGGTGGAAGAATCAAATAAATAACAACATACATAGCCCTCTCTCTCTCTTCCTCTACATATTGTTGTACTTTTGAATTAAATGAATCTCGCTCCCACTTTGTCTTTCCTACTTATTTCTTTTGTTTGTAACTCTTTTTCATTTACTTGTACAAGCAAAATGTAACAAATTGTTTGGAAAATAATATCAATTTTGGTGAAAAGGCCGCGCCCCTTCCGGCCGGAGGATGAAGCACTGCTTGCTTTCACTCCTCTCACAAGAGCAGTGAGCAAATTCTAAATTTCAAAACCCTCCTACATAAAATTATTATTACTTTGTTGCACTCCTTTCCACAGAAAATTATCGCCTCTCACCACAAAACATTTCGAATGTACAAAACACTTTGGTTGATGATGATTGAGCTCTTTCTGTTGCCCTGGTGGGACTCTCTCCATCACTTTCTTCTTCCACACCACCAAAACTCTCCAGCCAGCCAGCCAGCAGCTACCTTGTTTCGCTTAATTCTCTCTTCTCATCATTTAGCATTCATCCATTCATTCATTCCTTAATTTTCTCCAACTCTTCATTTTATTTCATATTTTAGACTTGGAGGAGAAGTGAAAGCGAGTGTGAAAGCACCTTCTTCTTCTTCTTTCTTCTCACTCCAACCTCACCCATTCTGACACAAGGAGTCCATTTATAATGCATAAACTGTTGCTGATTCTCTCACTACTTTCTCTCTCTCTCAAAGTGAAAATCGTTTCCAAGTGGTGTAGGCAGAGATCAAATTATCAACTTTTAACTAAATTCTCAGGAGGGGAATTAGCATTTGGTTTACGAGGAAGCAACTCGTTTAAGTACCTTTGCGCCGCCAGGTTGCCCTCTCCTGCCCGGCCCCGTGCGAGTCAACAAATTTATGTAAACTTTTTACCCGATTTATGATCATTACGTGTGAGTGAAAGTTGGAGAAAGTTTTTTTAACTAGGCAAACCGACTGGGGAAAAAGTAGTCAAAATTTGTTCGAATATTAACACAGTAACAAGTTTGTAGTTATACGCAATCAGTCGACGATTTCGGCATGACATCCAAATCGGTTTTAAAAGTCTCTCTTGACATTCATACTTGAACATGGGAGGGGATAAAGATTTAGAAACGGCACAGACTTGTTTTCCTCTAAAAAAGCGAATCAATCAGTAAAAGTTCAATCCCTTCATTTATCATCATCAGAACTTTATGTATGCAATGATTTTAAGTTCAAAGAGCACAAAATGCAAATCAAAGAAGGAACCAACCTGCATCGAAATCTGAATAAATAACAACCTGTCATCCCATCAACCAACATCAGCCAAGCGAAAGTCAATACTCGACATTTTGGCCATTTATCAGAGTAAAAGTAAATTCAGAGATACGAAATACTACTCATCCTCCCACTCCCACAGACTCCTATATGCTATATATACGATATATCTATCTCCTCCATAAATAGGTAGCTGACGATCCCACCACAAATTTTTCTTCTTCTCATGGCGTCTCGGCATTGTGACGAAGCGACAGAGCACATAAACCTCGAAAATACGATGGTTATGTGATACTCTACTTAAATAATCTTGTAGCGTAATGTAGCCCATGAATGTAGTGGTCGCGGTCGATACATAAGTATTAAATATTATCTGTCAACAAGTCAACACTTATATAAGCTATACGACTATTACAAAAAAAAGTAAAGAAATGGGTTGCGTATGTAGTCTCAATTCAATACTCGAATAGAAAAGACGCCCAAAAACCACAACATAACTCAGGATCAGGGTGTTTGAGTCATGATGTTTTGTGACAATAAATACACACAAATGCAATACATTTATCTTGATGGGAAGAAACCTGAGATGTAATGCGGACCAAAAAAAATACCAAAAAGAAGAATATCTTCCTCCGTCCTCCTTGTCGTCCTATTTATAAGTAAGTAAGTAAAGATCCTGACTTTTTTTAACTTAATTTTCCAAGTGAAAGTAAGAACGTCGAAAATTGCGGCGGCAGCAACGGAGAAAGTTGAGACAACTTATTCGAATTAGAGAATTAAAGAACCACCACAATTCTCATCCCATCGCAGAACGAGGAAAGAGAGAGATTTCTTATAAATCCATCGTCTCCTCGAGAGTTAGTTGCGATAAAAATAAGACCCCGAT